CGACACGAATTACATACGCGATACGTATCGAACACACGTTAATCGTGAAATCGTGTAACAACCGGCTCTCACGTCTAGGTCAACGTACCCCGTTGACGGTGTGATAAGCTTAATCTTCCAATTTTTTTCCGCGAACTGCGAGACTAAGAATAGCCTCGACGGGGAGATCGAATCGTTTAGCGAGAGGCTGATCGAGGAACAATGCCCTCGGCTCTGGGGTACGAAGAAATATCTCGTGGACGCCGATGACTATGCGTCATGGTCTCCTCTCTCTCTTTCTGTTGATGACTTCGAGCCATGGTCACAACCCCATCGACCGGAAGTCGCGAGCAGCGGAAGCAAGCCGGCTAGGTTTAGGCGAGCGACGATTTCGTGGGACCTATCGCGACGATCTACACAACGGGGTCTGGCCTTCGCCCGAACGCTCATCTGAATGCATAAACGCACGCGGCGCTTCGTGTTTGTACGAGATTCCTCGAAACGGTGTGTAACCTTGCTGACGATAGTCCCGTCCGTCTGGGCATTGTTAAGACTAGAACGACCGATGATGAACGTCTGTCTATTTCTATGGAATCGATAAGCATGACAAACTTTGGAAAATATACAAATCTATTGGGAAAGTATGAATTTTGATACGCCATCTAGTGATAGAAAAATTAACTACGGAGAGTAGGTCGAGTATCCATATTGTCCACAATGTTTAAATAGACAGATTGAGAAAAATCAGTGTTTTTATATTTATTGTGCTATTTAATGCTTTTAAATTAATCGGTATAATAACAGTTATAATTATTTAAACATTATTTTAAAAATGTACACCATGGAACTTGCTCCTAGGAAAAATAAAGCAGTGTTCGGCTGTAACAGTCGTGCATGTAACATCGCTTTTACCATTTTCGCCGGGAACAAGTAAACTTGGCGAGATTACAAAATAAATTAAATCAGGAAGAAATTGACCGTTTCAGTGCATGGGTGAAATTTTTACAAATGGGCTAGAATGTATCGTCCTCTATGAGAGTATACTCATTACACTTTTCAAAACACGACTTTATCCCAACAAGCAAGTATTATTGGAATCAATAAATAGTGTTGGACATAAAATTTATGAGTTCCAGGTTGCATGCGCGAACTTACAAATATCGTTTATGAAAATTCGCATTGTTCTTTCAATTCAAATCACAGACTTCCGATTTAGACAATTTTAAAACTGTTAAAAGCTACTTCGCATTTGAACTGTAAACAACTATAAACTGTAACCAACATTCAAACCACGCCTCCATCGATTTTTCCAATACATTAACATTCATTAATCTTCACTTTTATATTGCAGTAAATGTTGTAACAAATCTCAGAAAATGCATTGTTGTAACACATTTTAATCGTCATTACAAGAATGTACTGACCAGTAATTTGTACTGTTTTGGTAGTTCTAGTGTTAAGGAAGCGTTTCGAAGCTGATCTTACGTTACACAGTAACAACAGTCATTTTTGTAGAATGAGACCAATATTCGTGTCGATGAACGCATTTATCAATCACTGTCGGCACAAGATAAGATAACGTTTTCAGCTTTAATACCGATGAAGGAAATTCTCGAGAAATTAGTTAATGATGTTCTGATGCAACGATTACGATTTGTAATCGCGTAGGTATTTCATTCAACGAGGTATCAGTCGTCAACCAACCGAAAGCCCACGATCGAAGAAAGCCTGACTGGCATTTAACGCAAACAACCGCGCGCCAGCAACGGCCTGTAAATGGAATTAACGACGGTGGAATGATAAGTGGCGTCGGTAGCTGGATCTGATTCGATTAGGAAGTATATTTCGCCCGAGAGACTGACTCGTGGCGAACTAACGTGGTGTCAACGAACTGCGCGCGAGATATCATCGGTCATCGCGAGAAAAACCATCGGTTTTAATCGTTCCCATGTTCACCGATGATTAGAGAGACACCCGGTATACATTGTAATGCGTGTCACGCCTACGCCTGTCGCGACAGGCGTTTGTCAGACCGACAGAAATTGCTTTCAATAATGCGAAACATGGTCAGGCATAACCGTTCGCTCGCGGTGAACACGTACATACATATGTACTTGACAAAGAAGCTGGAAAATATTCCATGATAATCGTGTCATGAGAACCAGTAAGGGATTAGCCCAGTTTGGAGCTGATATAAAAGGTATTTTTTGGCAATTTTTTCGTGCGAACATAAGGGATTAAATGGGAAATCTATTAAAAGACATTTATTGTGCACATCTTCAGGTATGCGAAAAATTTTTTTGTAGAACAAAATGGCGACGTTGGCGGTTTTTAAGTGAGCACCTAATCGGCGTACAGAATAACTTGACAACAGTTTTACGTAGAACAAAACATTTTTACGATCTACATGAAAATTCCTAAAGAAATACGTCGGGATCTTCCGATATTTTAAAAATTTTATTTACTATGGAGATTTTTGTATAGAATTTTTCGGTTTAAAAACGATACTTTTTTCTTCAAATATTCACTATTTGCACAAAAATCGTATTTCTAAAAATCCTTATGTATTTCTTTAGTAAATTTCATGTAGAACGAAAATGTTTCGGGTTTTGTTCTAGGTCAAACCGTTTTCAAGTTATCCTGCACACCGATTACTTACATAGATTCTCTCTTAAAAACAGCTAAACGTGGATCAACCCCAGCGTCGCCATTTTCTTCTATAAAAGAGATTGTTCCTAAATCTTATAAGTATATCTTAATTCTAATAAATGTATGTTAATAAATTTCCCATTCACTTTATCATTTTTGTAAAAACAAATTGCCAAAAAAAAATTGCATTTTTAGACTTCAAAGTGGGCTTAACTCTGCAACGGAGAAAATAGTTAACACGGTAACCGTAAACCTTCTAATCGTTCCCTTTCGAGAGGATTTCTTTCGTAGAAATCGGAGGGAGTTCTCAGGTTCTCGTCAGAACTTTCCGTCGTTCTCGTGACTCTCCCATAAATAAACGTTTATTTGCAAACTTGTCGCTACAATGTTTCGAAACGTTCTAAAGGCAACGACTCTTGTAAAATTCACATACGAGAACTCGGTCCGAGTAGACGTTATTTCGTAAAACGTGAATGTGGCCGCGCAGAGAACTGGTTATCCTTGCGTTTTCCACACGGTTCTAAGATCCGGGCATAAAGATAGGCAATAAGCAGGGAGGCCCAGTTCGCAGTCGAGGAGCGTAGCATCGATATTTAACCCCGGACGGCCGACCTCAGAAATCGAGACCATCGTCAATTCCCCGACGCGTTACATACAATTAACATACGAACTCCTTCCTTGTGACTGCTGCACCAGCACTATCAAGCGAAAATTCTGTACTAAAATTAGATCCTACACTTTATCGATCCATTTGACCAGCCGTATTTATCCATTACCATATAGCAACCCCCGAGTAATTTAATTGACAAACTCTTGGTGTCGGTCGTGAATGAAAATTATTGTGTGTCCATCATAGTGATCATTAACTATACCAGTAAATAAAATTCCAAGAATCAAGTTCTGGATTAAAATTAGATCCTGCGGTTTATCACCGAATTTAATTTATTATTACCGAAAGTAGCTACCCTTGAGGAATTTAACACTTCGAGTACATCGAAAGGAAAAAAGACACCAGTACCTAGCTTGAATTGAACCTTAATTTTTGAAAACGTCCTCACTTTAAGTCCCTTCATTATTACTTTAATTAGCTAGTTTTTATGAGCAACCTTCGAGTCATTTAATTCACAAACATTGTTAATTGTGAAACATGTGTCCATTTTATAGTGATCGTTAATAATACCCATTCGTTATCCCGTTAATGACGGTCGCGTCTGCCGCGATTTTAAGTTTCTTGCGAAAGTTCCAGATCGAAACTCGAAAGAAAGAGAGCCGGTTTCTGCGCGGTACAACCGTAACACGTTCTCTCTCTTCTCGAGGTGTGTATATGGTGCCATCAGTTGGACTGCATCCAGCCAAGCGCAGATGACAACGAGACACGGCAAGTGGAACTCCGGATATGTACAATGTTCCGAAACGTGTTCATAGAAGACGACTGTGCAGCAGTACGGTCGAAGTCTCACATGTGCACCCTACTATGTGATTCCCGGCTTGTTCACGGACCAATGATTTGTATGCTAATTCTAACCGGAATACAATCCCCCTGAATCCTCTGGGAACTTTCTCCGTTCGAGAGCTGCGAACTTGCCGTTCACCTTGAACAACGGTCATTAGCAATTTCGGGCGATCGCGAGATACCTCGACGATATAGACACACGTGTTGACTGAAGAAAACGAGTTTTATAAAATGATTCCTTGTAGGATCAACTTATCTAATCTATCTTTCAAGTTATCTTCAACCGATTTGATATTTTGATGTTAAATTTCAGATTGGAGGGATTTCTGAAGATTCGTGTATGATTGAATCAGGAAGATTAACATGTTCACTGCGAAGCCTATTTTGGCTGACTTTCCAGGCCAACAATCTTTTGATATATTTGAACTGTGATTATCTGTTGACATGTCGATCAACGTTGGTCGATGCGACACGAACGGAAAGTTTTCTGGCGGTCACCGGTGACCGACGCGACAATGACTATGTCAAAGAAAGTATCAGAGTACTTGATTTCCTAAGATCCTAACAAGGTTCTTTGTTTTCAAGCTGCAGTAGTATGAGACTGTACCGCATAGTCACAGGGGCATCGAAGAGTTTCCATTTTTAGATCACGCGGTCGATCTCACTGAAGATACCCAAAAGTCATAATCCCATGTACGAACGTAGCTGGAAACCTAGAGAGAGAGGGTTAGTCACTAACTACTACATTTGCGTCGCATGTTTTCGTTATCATGGCGGTCGCGAATTTCAACGACAAAGAGCCCTCAAACGGTTAAGAGGGATCCAGTCGATCGATTTCCAAAAAGCAGAAGCATCGTCGCCGGTATACATACATACGTAGATTCCGTGGGTTAGTCACGAAGGGTAGTGTTTTATTCACCTGATCGTTGGAGAAGACACACTTGACGTTAATCCAACGGTGTGCCTTGACGGTGCAGTTGCACCCGTCCATCGCGCATATCCCAGGCGGTGCACTCTCGACGTTACCAGGCAGAACAACAAGACACCACCACATGAACACCGACCATACGACAGCACGATCACACTTAAGCCCGTCCAGGGCACTGAACACTCTCCTTCTGCCGTTCATCTTTCGGATCCGTCGAACAGACCCTCGAGACAAAAGGCCGCGTTGTTCCACGGTCGCGATCGATCGAGCCTTCGATTTCCTCCGCGCGGAGAGAGAGAGAGATCCTCTTCACATCGTTTACAAACACACCGTTATCCAGTTACCACTATCCCATCCACTTTGATTCTTCTTCCCCCGATACTCTCGGAACTTTCACATCTGGCTAAATCAATCGTTGTGAACCGATCCCACAAGAGACCCTCTTCGATCCGTGACGGATCCGCGTGTAGAACAAAGGGAAGACTGTATACTCTTAGGGAACTTTCAAAAGTTTCCAATGTTATCGATCTTCCTCCTCGAACACCAAATTCCACTGAGGCGACTCGCGGGCGCTGTCGGGGCCCAATCCTGCCTGGCCGAGATGCCGGACGGGAAACTGCTCGCGCGAGTATTATAACCGCCGCGCAAGCAAGTCCAAACACACACACGGCGGACCGACGGGCGGGCTTGTTTTCCGTTGAGGTGGGGGGCGACTAGAGGCCAGCTGACGCGATCATGACGGAGGTTGCTTTCAAACTGTGGTCGGTGGCATGCACGATCGGTGTCTCCTCCCCACCAAGAACCCCGTGTTCCTTCGCTCGCTACGCTCCCGCGTGTCTCTCCCTCTTCGGGTCTTTTAAAAGATAAAAGGCCAGCCAGCCAGGCCATGGTGTGTGCACGCCCGTAGGGGACGCACGGCGAACGCTCTTCGACACCGGTTCAGGCAGGGTTCGCCCTGATCGGGACAGAGGGAAGGGATTCCGAGCGAAGGCGACGCCACCGGTTTTCGAGCAGGTCGCCCCCCAGGGTCGGCGCACTTTGTGCCCTCCGAGGACCGACCTTGACCAAGTTACCAAGCGAAACGGCTCCTCTGTCCATCGCGAACACACACGGTACGTCGGGACCGAGGGTTTATGTAACGTGTGTTTGTGTGTGCGGTTTGTCCGGAGCAGGTTACCATCTTCGGAGAGCACCTGCGTTTGGTCAAGTGCAGTTGGTATTGGTTTGTACGTTTTTTTTTATTTTTCCTTTTGCCGCCTTTGGATGATTTTCCTTGTGGTTTGGATCACGTGTTGTTTTGATCGGGTTTATGGTAATATAAAGTGGTAAACAAGGGGTAAAGGAAATAGACGATCGTCTACTTTAGATTGTAAGTTTGAATTGAGATAAATGGTTGTGATGATAATAGAGTGAGAAGTACGTAATGCTTTTCGATATATCAAACCTTCCGCTACTGGTAACGTCAGCCGAATAACGATTACAGTGGATGATCGAATTATTATAGTTATCGTACGAGAAATATACCCTTTTGTGTTTATGTAGAAATAAAATCGCAATATCAAGGTTTTTATAGTGGATAATTTTTAATTAATAATTGTCCACTAACACACACATACACAAAGAATGAAACTTAGCCTACGTAAAGTTAAAATCGTTTTATGCAGGTGGCTTTAATAATTTGGTCACCCCTCTATGTAGTGCAGTAATGTAAACTGATAGGAATCACGATACGTTTTCTAATTACTTCATTGTTTTAATTCATTGCACTAAAAATACGAAACCGTATTTATATTTGTATTGTTTATATCGAGTATATTTAGACATTTTCGGAAACAATTAATTATAGGTACTCCATGTATGTACGTGCATCAAGAATTTTAACACTTTCGATACCCTCATGTATTTTCGAAAACATTCGTCACACACCACTCTATAGGTCTCCATCGTTCTATTCAATGGTACGGTCTTACTTTCTTGATTAGATATTCAAATTACATAAAAACAGAGATAACGAATAACATAAGATATGTGTAAGTATTGCAGAACACCTGCTTTTATCAAATAAAGTATGCTCGCTTCGAAATTGGAGTGTCACACATATGTAACGCCTGGTAGCAAACGTGTTGCAAAACTCAAAATCCAAATTTATCAATCCCATTAATAAAAGTGCTATTTTTTAAATGCATTGTTTAAATAAATGGATTATCAAAGACACAATCTTGCAATTTATACCATTTTTATATTTTTTCTAACAGTTTCCGAGATATTTGAATACAGTTCACACCCCTAACTTCGAGGGCTGTTTTACCCCTTCAACGCGAATAAAACAAGCCAAAAAAAAGTACGTGTCAAATATTTTTATGAGAACTACAATTTCAGACTTACATCAAAATCGGCGATTGTCAAATCCGGATGTTCCCTTGTTAGTTCGATTGCGATACCAAACTATATGTATAAATAAACAATTTATATCTACACAAGAATAGTAGCTTCTTTCTGTGAACTGTCAACCAGTAGACACACTCGGCTCTTTAATCCCAACTCTGACGCACCGCGTTTGTAATAATGTCTGGCCAAAAATTACGCGAAAAAGAGATGCAACAGGGGTCGCCGGAAGGCAAAACGGGCCTCCTTTATAGCCCGTTCGTGGAAAAGCACGAAAGCCAACGTCGGCGGGACCATCGTAAAAACGAGACGAGGCCGGCCAGGCCACGAAAGCGTCTCTTCATAGCCATGTCTCGTTTTTCATGGTAGATGGCGTTTCCCTAAAGCGTTGTACCCCCTCGTAGCTCTTCGCTTTATGAGCAGAAGCCCCGGCCATTTAATTTCCCATGAGAAATTGCGCGTGTCCGTAGAACTCCTGGCCCGCAGGCCGGCCCTGTGTGTCCCTCCGTGTCCTCCACCACGTCACACATACACATACACACGCGAAACGTCCATTCATTCATAACGCTCCTCCTCAAACCAGGAAGCACCTGACGCCGGCTGAAGTGGCCATTTCCGAAATGACCACGTGCTGACCATACGTCACATTGAGTCTGACCTTAAAGCCGGCATATCGTAACGCGACATTTCCAACGGCGCGCAATCTTCCATCCTCCGGCTAGAGGACTCGTCCTCCATAGTTCGATCGTGTTTCACGTTTCTACCATCGATCCTCCTCGGTCTCTTATTACCGAAGCGATCGGTAAAACAACACCCACATACGTAGCGAATTCTTTCAGAGCTTTGTATCAGAGAACGCGTGTCGAACGTTCAGGTCAAATGAAATTATCGTGATATAAATCTCTTAAACGTATTATGCTTGAAGCATGACGATCTGTTCTAATAACTAAGGATGAATTCATTTTGTTTCAACGTAAACGTATGCTCTTTCTCACGAGGGAACTTCGGTACCCTGAAAATTCCGAATCTTCTGCTAAAGGTCGTATGTTTATAGGGGATTTTAATAGAAGCGTGAGGCAACTTTTCGTTTTTCTGATATCGACTATACAGTAAATTATCGATGAGTATTCAAAGGTTCTTTGGCTCATCTTCGAACACTTATCGATGATTTACTGCAGTTTCAAGATATACAGGAAAATAGGACAACACACATTAACTTTAAATAGATGGTTTTATACTAAAGAACCGAATTTCAGCAAAAAATGAAAAATTGTCCGATGCTTCTACTGAAGTCCCTACAAACTTATAGAGTTTAAAGTAAATCGGAATTTTCGTGGTACTGAAATTCTTTTGCCAGTGAACGTAGAATGGTCTTGTCGATGGTCCTGTGAAAGCCAACTGCTTCATTCAATGGAACCAACATACATGTGTTATGATAACAGAATGTTTCTACCAGTCAGCAATCTATCATTCCATAATATTTTTCCAAGATATCCACTTATAAAGATGGCAGGTTTGAAAAATTGCACAACTATGCGGGTAATTGACAGTTACGGGGTTATTGCCAGGTTCTTCCACGTCACGTTTGGATTAAATATACATTGGAGCTTCCTTCGATACCGGTTTGGTAAGCGCGACTCCACGAAAGCGATCAGGTTCGATGGCTTCGAAGAAGTCGTTCCAGCATCTCGTCAGAAGCGAAGTCGGTCGAGACACGCGGCAGTATACGTATTGGTAGCGAAGAACCCGTCACTGGCGAGCTGTGCGCTGAACAGAATTGCCGATGTGATTGCGCCTTATTAGGGATGAGTCCGGCGATGACTCGCTAGGGGAAGCAACGATTGTCTGGCTGGCAGAGGAGCATCGTCCTCTGCTCGTGATCTACCCAGACGAGATCCGCGGAACGGAGCACCAATTAGGGGCATTTCAACTCGGAAACTCGTTCAAGCGAATCCGCTACCTGCATCGCTCGTGGCCTCGTTGAGGATACGCTTTTTGACCTCTGGCGACATTCGTGATTCTTTCAATTTTGTACACTTGAACGGGGAACTATTTTCATTGATACTTAGTACAGGTAATAGGATACTAGCCAAGTATAGGTAATTTTAAATGAATCAGTTTTAATAGTGGGTATTATATAATGAAGTGAACTATGATAGTAAAATATTAAGATTAATACTTGACTAGGTCTAGTAGTGTAATGGAAGGATTTCGTTTGATATTTTTCAGTTGTCACTCGAACGAACGACTCTTTCTACGAGATTTCGTCTCGTGTACAACTGGTACCAGCGGAGGACGTCTCGCAAGATGGCTACAACCGGACAGTTTTGTGGATCCCTCGAAGTGCGAGGTGTTTTATTCGAAGGACGAAATGAAGTGCGGATGGCCGGCCATCGTTACCATATTCACGCGAGACCAGTACGGAGATGCTGTTCACGTGCCCAATTTAAAGGTACGAACATGAATCCAAACGTTCTGACTTGGCTTCGAATGAAAATAGTTAACTAAATTTTCTAGCTTGATTGTAAAGGTCATTCTAATTGGAAAATATTCCACAGGTGGAAGTAAAAGCAGTGCCCATCGACAAGAAAGACTTAACAGAAAACGAACAAGGAAGAAAGATTCGACGGGTTTCGCAGCCCGATTCGATGACGTTCGGTGGGCATCCTCAGCCACCACTCGATGTGCCGTATGAGGTCACGATCAACAACAAGACCTGCTTCTACGCGATTACCATTATGAAGGCTTATCAGAACTATTCGTTCGAGGAGCTGAGGTTCATGTCACCAGCTATAAACAGATCGAGCGAAAGTATGCTGGTCAGACCGAATGGCGATGGAAGTTACAGCGCGACCTGGACACCGTCATCCGTTGGATGGTACTCGCTGATGATCACTGTGGACGGCTACAACATGGATGATGTGAGTACTCGACTATTGTTTAAAGAAATTATTCGCGATGATTAATAATACTTGTGGTATTTTTTAGAATTACAAAGTGGAGGTGAAAGAGCCACCACAGAGGATGCAACCACCGACTCAAAATATCGTGAAAAAAACGCAGCATCAGCCGAACAGGCTTAGAAAATTCGTGGCGAAGAATAGCGTGGGTTTAAGGATTCGAGCCCATCCATCCCTTCAGAGTGAACAGATTGGTCTCGTTTCGATCAATAACACGATAGCCTTCATAGACGAGGTAATCGAGTTTCTAATAAATCAATTGGCCCCTTTGAAGGTCGGTCTTCTGGATCATTGTATTTTCTTACAGATTCATAACGACGATGGTGTTTGGTTAAGACTGAATGCGGATACGATAAAACAGTATTGTAGTAGCAGTCATCTGGAGGCCTGGTGTCTACAGTACAATCAGCACTTAGGGAAAACCTTGCTTCTCCCAGTGGAAGAACCGAAGTCGATCCTAGATCAAGTCATCAAGGAAACTATTTTACGGAAGAGGCCCGAAGTGATCGACGAGTATGTAAAAAAATAAAACTAGATTCCATCTTTGGTGCAGTTCTAACATAAATCTGAAATTTAATTTTCGCGTTTCAGCAAAAGGAAAACGGTCACTTTCGACTCCGGTAGGAGCATGGTGGTCGTAAGGTGCGGCGCTTCCGGCCACAATATTAGAAGCAGACCAAGCTTAAAGGCTGCCCCGGTGGGAATATTGGCTCCCGGTAACGCCGTAACCATTCAAGAATATGTGAGCCTTGATATTACTATGTTCTCCAAAAAGAAACAAAAGATATCGATTGAATCGTAGAAGTGTTTACGGATCGTGTAAGACATTGCTTTTATTATTTTCAGTTTGTGAACAGCGAGGGTACATGGGTGCGAATCGACGACGAAGCGATGTCCAAGTATTGTTTCGACCGTGGTCGAGTCGCAGAGGGCGAGGCATGGTCGCTCGCGATTAGCAAGCAGGGCGTGACGTATATGAAAACCGAGAACGATCTCGAGAACGACACGGCGGAAAAGAAACCGATCGTGGTAGATCCGTCCGATTCACCTAACCATAAAGGTTTCGATTTCTCCGTGCCCTCAGTTAGTCACGAGGGCTTCAATTTCACCGCGCAGAATTGCACACCGGGCACCGCGGAGTCTGGCGAAGGTAGCAACACGAATCCCTTTATTTTTGGTTCATACAATCAGCACGATTCACCAGGTACAATCCGATGAAATCGAGTGTTAATTAACAAAATCACCGCGCTCGTATATTCCGTGTCATCTAACAATGTACCTTCGTCGTGTATTATGTTCCCAGGAAGCGATAAACTCGCATTAGAGAAGACCGAGGTCTCACCGAAGTTCTCCAAGCCCCATTCCAAGGAACGAGTGGTGAAGGAGAGGGAAAGAAAGTGTCACGGCGAGAAGCGAAGTTCGCCCGGCAGGTGAATAAAAAAGAATGGGAACGTCGGGGATACGTGCAGTTAGATTAGTTTCGTTCATATAGTTTTGGCATATGCAGGGATTTTTCCGAGTTCGTCGGCGTGTCGGTGAAAGAGCTCGTGAAAGCGATCGGCGAGAGCCGTGCGAACGGAAACGGTCCGACGCCACCTGAGACGCCGCGAAGATTGTCGAGAAGTTCCTCGCCGAAGAATCCCCAAGGTGGGTCACCAAGATTTCACAGCCCGTCCTCTAGCCCGGTACAGATACCCGGTACGTATTACGAAATTACAAACAATTGAACGAGAACCGAGATTTTGGCGAAGCCGCGATTAGATTTTTTATAGATATTGTATACATATACAGGGTGGATCACGAATTCTGATCAGATTCGATTATTTTGCTACTAGTTGTTCGATCGAAAATTTCGTTGGCTATTATAACTAGACTGCGGATTTTTATGCAAAATAACGTTTTCTAAAGTAATTTACAAAGACAGGCGAAAATGTAGAAATTTATTTTTTCTTTTATGTATTTTATTGGGTTCAGACTAAAATGGAAAACTCAAAGTTTCGTCCTTTACTGTATTTCACAGAGCCCTATGGGCTATAAATGCATAAAATCCGCAGTCTAATTACAATATAATGTGCTTCAAAGAGAGCTTTAAGATTATTGTACTAAATTTTTTACTATAGTTTTCATGGTAATCTTCCGTTTTTTTATATATAAACTTATTTTTTTTATGCCCATCTTTTAGCGGATATTGAGACGAATTCGACAAGCATCATAACAAATAATTTTTTTTTCTTGTAAACTAAAGAAGCATTAAGAAAATATTATTTACCTTAATTAAAAGGATGTTCAACATCTCTGCTTACTTCTATTTACGACGTTTGCACCGATGGTTAAGTTTGGAAAAAAATGTGTTGGTCGAACAGCTAGCAGTAGAATAATCTAAGCTGATTACGTTTTGTGGTCCATCCTGTATATTTTTTATGGCCCTGATCATTTAATTTCATATATACATTCATGTGTGTATGCGTGTGTGTCTTACTTCACACTACCGGCACCGTAACTGGTCTGTGAGAAGGGAATCATTACAGAAGCTGAGAGACCCGATACTGACACTTGTAAGACCGTATTTAGCGTACCGCAAAAACGTTTCTTCCTTACTCTGCGGAACGAATACTTTTTTTCCTTCTAGTGTAACACATTTAACAGCCTCCTCTCCGATTTATTATCTATTCTAGCCCCCCTCCCCCCAGAAACGAATGATCTTAGGTTTACGAATATATTAAGCAAGACATTATTTGGATTAGTTATAACAATATAGTGATGTTGCTCTTATTAGCTGGGTCCAGTCGACAGCCAGTTGGTTCTGGTAATTGCCTCTTCCCTCCTGCTGCTCATGCACCAGGTACTCGATCCTTTCCTAGTCAACATAATCCTCAATTTTTGTACAGTCGAGAAAATAGCGTATAGCGTTTATGTTGTTCAGAATCACTTCACCACGATACACACCACGATTACGTTTAAAGAATGCCATGGCACTGTAGAGTATATTGTATATTCCCCCGGTGAGCCGAACTGCATGCAGACAATAGTACTTCGGAAGTTATACGACTTTATATTATTTGTTTCATGCACGTACAACACACATGTAATCTGTATCACCCTTTCGCCGATTTAGAGGTTCGAATAGTTGCATATTCAACATTATTTCACACAGACTTTAGCATATTGATATACGATAAAACACTGCACATATAAATTCTACAAATGATCCAACAGTATCGGGTGGGAGAAGCTTGATAGGAGGGGGAGATAGTGTCAGTAGCAGCCCTGTGCTCTGCGGCTCCCCCCGAAGTGTCGGCCTCTCCCCATTAGGTAAGAATACCAACATATACATTTATACTCTTTGACATTACACTAACATAATCTACTACTAACATATCGGACTGGACACTTATCGAATCGTCATTGTATAACACACTTTCTCGATCGTAATCTCTCATTCCGTTCATTGTCGTTTCATTCGTTCACGATAAGACAGCACGAAATTGCACGAAAGTAATAAATTATGCAAAAGAATGTTAACACGACATACAACTATCGTTCATCTGTCCGTGTCCATTGCCGTTGACACGCAAGGTGAGATAACGACATTCTTGCTCTAGAAAGCAACGAGACTAGTTTTATGTTTTACGCAAACAATTCTAATTGCTTTTACTGAATTTTTTTCACGTTCTCTTCTTTAAGTTTCTGGGGGCATGGTGGACAGCACCACGTCACAGCGACGGGGATCGACGCAAAGCGACACAAGTGCCTTGGTCAGTAGTCTAACGAGGGATCCCTCGCAATCACCCAGTGCTGTCAGCACAACTGCCAACACTCGCGACCTGTCTCCGAGCCCGAGTTGTAGTTCTTTGCATATAAGGTCCGAGGGTAGCATAGCTAGTCCGCCTGACACACCGAAGAAAGATGGCGGGGTAAGTTGAGCAACCCTTGCCAAAATCATATCCGTCACGAACATACGATAAACAGGCCATTTGTTTTCCAAAGGATTCCCAGAAAAGTCCACGAAAAGTCTCTCAGGCCCAAACGCAGACGAGTATCTCCTTTCACTTTAGCATCGGCTCAACTGGTCCCAAAGACGAACGTCATTCGCCAAAGTTAAGTAAACGAGATCACTCGAAGATGGTGAAGACTAGGGCGAAAAGAGCAATGTCTCCGGCCAGTTCGCAGCAGAGTTCGAATCCAAGTAGAACGCTGAACTTGAGCAAAGAGAAGGTTAAAGAAGCCGTCAGTCCATCGGTAGCGGAGTGCCTGAGAGCTGTGTTCGCGGCGTTCCTTTGGCACGAAGGAATCGTGCACGACGCGATGGCTTGCGCGAGTTTCCTTAAATTCCATCCTAGTTTACCGAAACAAGGGGCCCTCGTTGTGACCAGACAGCCAGTGACGCAGTCGAACGATAAGGAGGAACAGGAGCAGAAAGCCAGGCAAAGACACTCGGTCGAGGTGACTAACGCTGGGAATTATTTACACATTCAACCAAGCACGTTAGAGACTTTGACGCGGTCGGCTGCGAATGCAAACGCGAACCGGAACAGAAAGAAGCAAGAAACTTCCTCTAAAGAAGAGGTCCAAGCAAACGGTAAGCTTGGTGCTGTTCCAGAATTCCAAACAGTGGCGGTATTACCACCGGCCTTGAAGAGCTTGGTGTTCTTATGGGAGGAGCTCAGTACCAATTGCCTTCAGGCTATAGAACAGCAGTCGGTATTGCCCAGCCCGATATCGCAGATACAAACGATGAAATTGGGCAAACGACCGATACCAGAGAAACGACCCCGAGAGGAGAAAGTCAAAGACCGCGAGAAGAAGGGCAGTACGAAGAAGAAAGAATGGAAACCAGTTGGTCGACCAAATGGGGCTGAAGTGTCAGCTGGGATTGAACGGGAGACCATTTGTGAACTCTGCGGTCTGATGTTTCCGCATCCAGTGACTTATCACATGAAGATGATGCATCCTGGCTGCGGGTGGCACGCCGGTGGAAAAGGATACAACAGCGGGGGGACTTATTGCATAGGTTGGACGGGGAATTGCGGCGATGGAGGAGTAGGCGGAAGCTCGTGGTATCTCATCTGTGATACGTGTCGCGATAAGTATCTGAGAGCTCGGAAGGTCAAGCTGGCGAAGTTCTTAACAGGAATGTCGAAACGGAAGAACGGCTCTGGAAAGATCCTGTCGCCGATTACCAGTCCGAATGGGAACGAGACACACATCGTTATGAAGAACAATGCTATGTTCCTGTTAGACCTGGCTAGCGCTTCTGGACTGAGCATACCGAAGCAACAGAGACGACCTTCTCAAACGCTGTCATCCGTAGCCGAAAATTATAGTCCTCCGGAAGCAGCGGGGCCTTTCCCGGCAACTGGGCCATTTCAGTGTATGCAGGCTTTAGGCGTCCATCATTCGCAGAGTCATGACGAGAGGTACTACGAGGAAGTATTGAGACGACAGAACGGACACCAAAATGCCTTTGAAGGGAACAGCGGCATGTTTAACACTACGAACGGAAGGGTAAGAAATTGGTTATCTGTTGCATAATTTCAATTGATAACGTGTTCCCGTTTACAGCCTGTGTCGGAGTATCCTATGAGCGATAGCGACAGCGAAAGTGGCAAAGGTCGAGGAATGTTTCATCGTTCAGTGTCTATGTCCACTGGAGCTCCCTGGACCAGAAATACTAACGATGGCAGAGTTGTTATCATGCGGAAAAGGAATAACAGTAGCAGTGAAATGAACAATAGTATGTACAGAATTGTAATACTTGCTGTTTCTCTGCTACAGCTTTATAACCTCGGAAACTTTCTTTTCTACAGACGGCGGGTTGTCCCTATTATGTTATCCGTCTGCAGCTCTTCAGAAGTTGGTACCATCGATGGATCAGTCAGCGATTGTGTCCACGAGTCAAACAGAAGCAACGAATAACGACAGAATAGAGATCCTTATGCGACCCGTAATGCTTTTTGTTCTTCAACAGCACAATTTGCAGCATTTGCAACTAGCCATGAAGCAAGCACTACGTCGTGCGGCTTGTCGAGTTTACGCGATGCAAGCATTGAATTGGTTGTTAAGGAGCGTAACGCAGCCGGTATCTCTACATGACTTGCTTTGGTGGTTTTCTTCCTCCTTGACGCCAGCTGTGTCGCCTGAGGCTGCAGAGTCGAACGAGGAGGACAATCGAACCGAGAAAAAGGACGATCATGTAAGCACAACAATGAATACGCTATTACAGCGAACGTCAACTGTTGCAAACAACATCGGTCTCAATGTATACAATACCAGACCACTGATGTCCGATACACACGATACCAGATCACTGAGACACAATACAAACAACAGCAGTGGGAGACTCAATAGAAAATGCATCAGCGTTGCTGTACACTGTACACGATAAGTGACCATTTAGATTCGACAGAGATGGGGTCAGACCTGATACGCTAGATAACAGATCATTGTACCTCAGTACATATTCTCTGTCTTTTCTATTTTGAGTAAAAACGATCTCAAGTTAAAAAGCTAGGTCTGTATTGAATATTACTAATACGTTTTCAATTTTTTAAGGATATGATTGGCGTGTGTGAACATCCCTTAAGCGACTTGGTGATAGCAGGTGAATCTGTCAACCCACTACCAACAGTGTTCCATACATTGTTACAAACCATCGCCGATCTGATGCTTTTACCACCTCTCGGTAAATATCTAATGATATTTATAACTTATGCGATCATATAAGAACGAAATAATTTCGTGCAATAATTTTTAGGTTCACCGTTACAACAAGCTGCTATCCGATGTTGGGGTATTAAATTCACCCCCGCGGATCATATGTTCCTCCATAGAAGTCATGTTTTTAGTAACATTAGTAAAATACTCTCGAGATCCGAAGAAGACGATGACATTACGATGAGTATGCACGAAAGTCATCAGTCTACACATTCGCAGCAGATAACCAGTTCCGTAGAAATTTTGAAAGATTTGACGCCTGGCATTAAAATCAAAGCTTCGAGTAGGCAGGCCATGATCGCTAGCTTGACCGACAATTCAACAGAAACTTTCTGGGAGTCTGGTGACGAGGATCGTAACAAAACAAAGACGATTACTATTTGTTGTAGTGCTCATTCTCTTCCTCGAATGGTGTATATCCATATTGATAATTGTCGTGATTTAACGGTAAGTTGTAACCTCAAATTAAATTACTGTTTTATTGTAACAATTTGTTATTTGTGATATCTGTGTTGGCAGCACAAGGTATCCAGTGTAACATTTCAATCGGGCAATAACGCGGATGAAATGGTGAAGCTGAAGACAATGGAAATTGAAAGTCGCTCAGCTGGTTGGATCAACTGTCCGGTTACAGGTAATTGAAAGAAAAATATATTGACCCATTCGAATGTTACAAGAACTCTGACACTACTATCTCTATAGATTCACGACATGTTGTGGTTGGTCTCGAATTAAAAGGGCCAGATAATTCTTTGCGAGTCCGTCAAATAAGAATTTTGGGTGAGATAGAAGGAGAGTCATTGAAAATTGGAAAACAGTTAAGTGCACAAAAAATTCAACAAAGAACTTGCGAGGCCGAGACGTTGAAAGTGTTCCGATTAATTACTTCTCAGGTAATGTATATATTGATTTAATAGTTTGATCCTGTGCATTCCTAATTATTTATTTTTATTTGTTAGGTATTTGGCAAACTTATACTAGGAGACCAAGAACAACAGCAAATGGAATCTGCAGATGGTATTAACGAGGATGTGGAAGATAGTAATGATCTTCGAGAACATATGGTTGGCATTTTGTTCAGTAGAAACAGTCTCACGCATTTGCAAAAGCAAGTTTGTACACATATCGTTCAAGCTATACGAAAAGAAACGGTTCGATTAAGGGAGGAATGGGAAGCACTGTTATGTTCGTCAACACCTGTTAATAGTCTAGTGAGCGACAACAGCGACTTATCAAAAGCAGCTGACACATATTGCTTCGAAATGCTATCTATGGTTCTTGCGTTAAGTGGCAGTTCTGTGGGACAATATTATCTATCACATCAGTATGGATTATTAAAAGACTTGTTGAGTTTGTTACACACTGGATCGGCTAGAGTGCAACGTCAAGTATGTGTTTTATTCTTTCGAAATTTATACTTTTTAAGCTGTGATATATAACAAAATTATTTTTGTATGGTTTAGGTAACAGCTCTTTTGAAACGAATATTACCAGAAATTAAGCCCGAAGTACTAGCCAGTGTTATTAGCGTCGAACGATTACCACCCACAGACTTCAGTATTGTATCCGCAGCGAACAATAGTTTCACGCATACCACAGATTTCAACGAACATACACCAGGAATACTCGATGTTTTTTTAAGTTGTATCGCCAAAGCATTGACAGTTCAAGTTAAAGTGAAGGGGAAAGAAAATAACGGAAAAGCTTTGCAGACTGTTTCACTAGCTACTAGCATTCATCCGAAGAGTCAGGTTGGGGGAAGATGGTGGCTAAGAGGGTGTATGACTCGAAAGTTGGCTGAAGTAATCATTCAACTTCTAAAAGATATGGCATCGGTAACTATCAATTCAAGCTCGATTCTTAACACTTAACTGATTACTTATTCCCAAAAATTTATTTCAGGGAAAACTATCAGACGCATGGGCGTCGGTAACAAAGGCAGCTATTGCTGAAAATATTTTAAATCTTACCCGATTAGATGAGAAGAGCCGCGATCCGACGGAATGTCTCCGAACGCCGACATTATGGCTGGCCCTTTCCTCCTTGTGTGTCCTTGACTCTGATCATGTCGAAAGATTGTCCTCTGGTCAATGGAGTGGTTCAGAGGGACAACCACCACCCCCTAGGGTAAGATTACACAATTTAAGTTGACCAATTCACTGTATGTCTTTTTAAATACATGACATTGAATATTATTTTAGCCAACATGCAATAATCACGATGATGGTGAAACAACAGCAATCATTCAATGCAACGATTGTGGAAACCTGTGCGGAGAGTGCGACAGAATCTTGCATTTGCATAGAAAAGCTCGAATGCACATAAGACAAGTCTGCAAAGAAGAGGAGGAAGCGATACGCGTGGATCTTCACGAAGGATGCGGTCGAACGAAACTGTTTTGGATTCTGGCCCTTGCCGACAGTAGAACATTGAAAGCACTAATAGAGTTTCGCGATGGTTCACCCAGAAAACCGGTTGGAGCTACGTCGGGGATCTGCAGATTTTGTGGAATCACCGGAAACACAGGTTTGCTGGCGATTGGCAATATTTGTACGGATAATGATTGTCAGGAACACGCTAAAAACGCGTGCAGCAAGATGCACAATTGCGGACATATCTGCGGGGGCGTTCGAAACGAGAAAACTTGTTTGCCCTGTTTGCATAGGTGTTTATCGGATAGCGACTTGAAGCAGGACGCCGACGATATGTGCATGATTTGCTTCACAGAAGCACTGTCAGCCGCGCCAGCAATTCAGTTACAATGCGGGCATGTCTTTCATTTGCATTGTTGCAAACACGTTCTGATGAAGCGATGGGTTGGGCCGAGAATCACTTTTGGATTCTCTCTTTGTCCAATTTGCAAGGTACCTATGGAACATGCTACTTTGGCCGATCAATTGACAAATATTAACGAACTCTATGAGGATGTCAGAAGGAAGGCTTTAATGCGTCTGGAGTACGAAGGTTTATGCAAGTAAGTGTTAGGGTAACAGGAATATTGGAAACCTACATATCGTTCAGGTTTATATGAGAATTATGTGTTACAGATCGGAAGCAGCGTTTGGACCAGGTGCAAGATATCAAGATTCCGCTGCATACGCGATGGAGCGATACGCGTATTACGTTTGTTACAAATGTCAAAAGGCCTATTACGGCGGTGAAGCGCGGTGTGACGCACAAGTGGGCGGGGAAACGTTTGATCCGACGGAATTAGTGTGTGGGGGCTGCAGCGACGTGGCAAGGGCTCAGATGTGTCCGAAGCACGGGGCAGACTTCCTAGAGTATAAATGTCGTTATTGTTGCTCGGTGGCAGTCTTCTTTTGCTTTGGAACCACACACTTCTGTAACCCCTGCCACGACGACTTTCAACGTGTCACCACCATTCCAAAAAGTGAATTACCTTCATGCCCTTCAGGTGAGCTAATTTTTGGATGTAGTTGAAGGTTTGCGCCACTGTGACGAAACTGAAAATTATTAGCTTCCTATTCAAAGTGTATTCATTGAACAAAACTGTGATCCCCAATTCTACGTTTGTTTCTTCTATTTCATTAGGACCTCAAGCAAAACAACTGGACGGGGATGAATGTCCATTACACGTGAAACATCCACCAACCGGAGAAGAGTTCGCGTTGGGTTGCGGTATATGCCGCAACGCACATACATTTTGAAGATATTCCAAATAGATAGAGAACAGAAACTATTTCATGATTTATACTCGATATTAAGAAGGATCAATGGTTCTTGTTGGATCTTCACAATACAACTATAGTAATGCAAACAAATGGATATATAGGTCGTATATCTGTATTCGCAGTAAGAGCTATCATCTGCATCGATTTTTGGGGAATTCTTATGATTATCGCAAACGTGGAATTGACGCAGTAAAATGATGCAAGAGGAATCAAGTAGTATGAACTGAATAGCTGCAAATCTTGAGTGAGAATCCAATGATGCGTGGAACTCTAATACTTGTTAAGTATTACATAAGTCATTTTTATTCGTAACATTAGAAAATACTGAAACGCCTATGCGTTAAATAATCTCTATAGAGAAGAAGAAGAAAAGTGAGATGGAGAATGTTGTATGTGTATTAAACTTCCATGTAAGAGCAAAACAATAAGAGCTTACATGTGTGTAAGTCACACAGAGTGTAGAGATTCATTTGGTAAATATTCTAGGCATAAGCGTTTAATTTAATATATATATATAAATATATATATATATATAATATAATTCTCTACACCACTTAAGAACTATTTAATTATTATCGACAATGATCATAATAAGTTATGTATGTAGGTAAATTATGTATGTGACAGAAGTGTGTTATTTAAAATTGTGAATTGAATTGTGAAGATACATAAATTAAAAGAAACAAAAAAATTAAATTCAGATAAAGGAAGTGAGAGCAAAGTTCGTGCTGCACTGAATAATGTGTCAGTGCTCGAATCGTTGTCATTCGAGATAGTCATAAACTCTGCATTTGTCGTCTTTAAACTGTTCATTTGTTTTTATACTTTTCCAAAGGAATAGTATGCGCACCGGCATGCTTCCAAATGTTATTTATTTAATCGTCAGTGCAATTGCCTTGAACTACAATGCATTGTTGGCGGAAATGATATAAAATCATTGTGTATATTCGTATACGAATGAAATGTGTGAACGATAACTATGCGTCAAGCGTTATCGTCATTATTTGTGTTTAAATCTTGTGCAGATTAAATGAAAGTAATGATTGCAAAACAGATCATGTTCTCTTTACTTACCTACTGTTTCATCTTGGGGTATTACCACCGGCATACACAGAGATTTACAGACTCTTCCGAAATTATCTTGAGAAACGTGATACACCCGAATATTCTACCCTTGTTGTTGTCCCGATATTCACAAGTTTTCGCGTAATTTGGGGCGAATATTTGGATACCCAGTAAATATTGACGGTATTACACTCATGATCCACTTTGAAATGTAACGGTCACTAAACTAATCGAAACTCAAAACCAGCGCACTTTTCGAGTGCCGACTGATCGATCCAAGATGGCGGCGGTCAGCAGCGCCGCGGCACGGCAGTTTGTCTTAAGCAGTGCGAGGTGTAACGTGTGTGTGTGCGCGCGATCCTGACGTTTTTCGCCTCGATCAGCGGTAAGTAGCCTTTATTTATGAGTCGTGCAACAATAGTTACATAATTCCCGAGCCGAGCGAGCCGTATGTATTCATCCATTAGGTCGCTTTTGGCGGGAAATATATGTTTTTCGATAGGAAACGGTTGTGTATTCGCTCGGTCGGAGATGATCTCCTACGCACGTTCGTGCCACCCTGCCAGCACTGCTGTCAACTCGCTCTGTTTATTTTTACCACGAATTGCAGCCAATTACGAGCCGACCGATAACTTAATTGACCAAAATTACACGACTTCTCTGTTCAGTGTGCTATCTTCCAGTCAATATTTACGACAATCGACGGATATCATTTTCCATCCTCTAGGACACACTGTCGGAAAAACAATAAGCAGATCACCTGTATCCAGACAATGATCTCGCACGCACTATTCGTCCCTCTGACTCATATACCCTGAGCACTTCTGCGAAATTATATTGTCACCGAGTCGAATTCCTGCTAAGTTGTCGTCTGCTGTGCCGATACTTAACCTCACTTTGTTCACTTAACTTGGACTCCTGTCAAGTTATAGACGGTTTTCAATTCTAAACGGTCCGTGAATTCGGCATGCCAACAGCAACTATAGAATCGATGTCTTTCCATTTCAATCTACCGGTGCAACAAAACGACAGCATCTTATGCTATCCTTTAGCGAACCTTTTTTGAACATCTTAAATATATCAACGGACATTTCCGTTGAACCGGTATGAATCAAGTTAATGGTGCGGATGGTATACTCAGTGCTTTAATATTAACCACCACGCCGTATGAATCACGATGAAAGTCAATGCCGCAAAAGTAGTTCCACTGGTAGTGAATTATTACTACGTGCGGCAAGGGCTACACTTTGGGACATTCGCAGAACGTGCTTATGCTTTCTTTCTCATGCGACTGGACTGCTAATGCGATCGCAACGAGCTGACAGGAAAAAAACAACTCGGAACTTTTCATGTTTTCATCCGCACGCGTGTTTATTATCGTCGATCTATTATGGCGTTCCGGTGAATTTTTAACGAATCGGCGACGCGTCGCGATGACCTGGGGGAGGACTCGTTACTTGGACAGTCCGCTGGGAAATACGCTTCGCGGGAGCCGTTCGGTTTCACGTGAAACTGGTTTTAGACACGTGCGTACCACGCGGTCTAAATGCATTTCACGCATCTCACGCATTCGAGCGTCGAGCACGCGCTTGTCGTTCGAGGAGTCGGTTGCACGCACACTATCATTGTACAAGTGAGTACACGTTACCTGCAATAATGAATGACTTGTTCCAGGCCATTTCCGTTTGCTCCGGAATCGCATTTCAAAGCGACTGACAAATAGAGTATTTCCTTTGTAACGATTTAGAAGGATCTTTTTTATTGTCACTCATCGCGAAAGTTGGGAATTCTTAATGTTGTACCAAGTTTCGGTACTTTTTTTATTCCAAATTACTAAAACAAACCGATCTGTTAGAGACTATCAACGTAGAACTTTTGACCTAAAAGAGTGGAAGGGTTCTTGTAGGAAGGTCTAAAGTAAATCCCTTAGTAGGAATATTCATTATTACTTACTCTAGTTCAGATCCTCTTTCCTGATTACTCAAGTATTACAACTCTGGATTAAGGTCACAGTAAGCGAAACTTTAAATGAAGGATTAGGATTAAAGAAAGTGAATGACAGTGGAAAGAAACTATACCAAAAATATAGTTCCACTACAGGATATTAAGAAGAGTCCTCTTTTAATAATTGTAAGATTCACCGAATAAATATTAATTCTTCGTGTAAATTCTGTTCGCTGATCTAAAATTCAGACTGATTTCATTAATAATATACCCGTTTTTTTTTTCATTTTATTTGACATTTCACTTTATCGTTTCACTTAACTCATGTTGAGATTAAGATTTGAGCGTGTAATTATACTCTCACTTCGCGAGAGAACGAAAGTCACTGTCACCGAGTAGCGTTGGCTCCGCCTTTCGGCTTGAATTAATCCGAGCGATACTGAACGAAACGTCAACGCTCGTGTACGGTAGTCAGCCGGCGATGATCCCCACACTCTCGCGGGATAGGACCTCTGAGTTGATTGTAGTCGACATCCCGATGTGTCCCGGAAACCAGTTCCAGGAGAAGATCATACTGTCCCGTTATTTTTACTGATACGCATGCATCGCACCACGCCATATGTTGCGGCCGATAGCTACCCGTGGCGTCGATGAGGAGATTTACATGGAACTTTCCTCGTTTCGAGTGAAACCGAGAACAGGTCGTCCACCAAATTCGGTTGGTAAACGCATCGTTGATGCAGTACATCCTCCCCTTTTTTTCTTTCCTTTTCAACTTGAGGACGTTTATCTTAGCTTCCATCGTGAAGCATTTTCGCGAGGTTATTTGAATACTTTCTGATGCTTCTTGATGTTTACAGCTGGATTCAAGAATCTGTGGATGTTTATTTGGTACTTTTTTTCTATAGTGCCGGCAGGTTAGTTTGAATAAATAAGAAAGGACTGTAGAATAGAGTAGTCGATATTTCATGAAACAAGAAAATGAGGGAGATAGAATTATGTTTCTAGCACCTTAACAAAAAATTGAAGTCACTATTTTTTCTAATACAAGTACTGACTTTTGATAGATCGTGTGTCTACTAATTGGTAATTCTGAAGTAACGATCTGAATTCCTTAATAACGGCTTTCGATTGAACTTCTTATCGTCCAATTAAGGATTTTTTATAATAGGTTTCCACTGGTCATAATTTCGATACTTGCTGTGGAATTTTTGAAATATCACCTTAGTTTTAGTGTCCCCGGCTTTAAATTTAAATAATGCTTAATTGGGCTGTATTTTTCACTTGAATCGTCGTTTCGTGGACCAGGAAGTATGTAAGCACTTGCGTAATCACGCACTAGTAAAGGAATGAGTGTATCCGTAATCATTTCGTATCGGTGTAATTAATGAACTTACACTGGGAATAATGCTGTACTTGTTGGCATTTCAACGGTCCTAGCCGCGCGACACCAAAATTACTGTCATGTTCGTAAGAACGTGTATTTTTTTTTTACACACAACATTTCGTACTTGCCACCAGAGGTAATGATCCACCGCGATCAAACGTTTCCGTTACATTCCACGGAACGATCGACCCCCTGTCATCCGGCATTCCAGGACAATTACATTCGTTCAAAATATACAGTGGGTAAAAAAAGTATTCGCACACCTTTTAAAATGGAGCAACTTTTTTTAAAATTGAACCAAGTCACTTGAGTTTATTTGCGAAGTTAGAAAGATTCGTTTACTAAATAACGTGTAAATAAAATTTTGAAAAATTTGCAATTGGTCGGCATCGCGAATAGAACACTAAAGATCGTTTTTCACGACGTTTTTATCCGAGACTGTAATGAAAATGTAATAAATACATTATGAAGATTTACATTAGTTATATATGTTCATGCTGTATACATCTAACGTAAATCTTCGAAATGGATTGATTATGTTTCCATTACAATCTCAGATAAAAACGTTGAAAAAAGCGATCTTTACTATTTTCTTCGTGATTCCGATCAATTGTAAGTTTGTCAACATTTTTCCACACGTCATTTAGAAAACTAATCGTTCTAACTTCAAAAACTCAAGTCACTTGGTCCAATGTTAAAAAAGTTCTGGTTTAAAGATTGTGCGAATACTTTTTTACCCACTGTCTATACCTATCAAATGATTTCAATATTTGAGCCTTGGGTCGTTATATCTTGAATCTTTTCGTCTCCATTACCGCAGTATCAGTATGTTACTCCTTGTTTGGAGAATATAAACCGTTCAGAAATATTTTTGTTATATACAATATTTACTTATAATTAGCGTTTGTTTTATTTGATCATCCAGTCGCAGCGATAGATGGATCACTCTTGTCTACGAACCAATCCTGCACTCGGATCGCTGGCGCTAATTAATGACCGAGCTCGCGCAGGTTGTTCGTCGAGAGCTCGTTCAATGTCGCGCGCTTATCTACAGGTTTGAAAGCTCTCCGAGTTCTTTTTCCATCGTCCCTGAATTTTCACCGCGACATCCTTCTCGCCCCCCGCGTTAGAAAAACTGAAAAGGCGCCATTAACGCATCGGTGGACGTTTCGTGTGTATTAATTAGACACGTGTCGCCTAATAGCATCGAATGACTCAATAAATGATCCAACTTGTGGCAGACTTTCTTGGAATTTCCACGATCCGTAATTTTATTTCCATTAATACAGAACAAACAGTATTTCTCTTTCACGTTTGAAAAGAAAAAAAGGTCTCGATTTCGGAGTGTGAGTTTTAACAGTAACGGAGTTCGACGAAATCGCGTCGGTCGAACGACTTTCGATTAATCTACTCGGTCGAGGAGAAACTCCATGGATTTGGTTAACAGATTTTTCGGATACACAACGAGGAAACCGTTTCACAGGGCTCTGTCCACGTGGACAGAACGAAGTGTATCACTCGACGGGATCGCAGACGTTATTTAAATCTCGAGTTTCATCGTATTCAGAGTGTGACTGCACACCGTATATTGTAATTACGTTAAAGCTCCGTCAACGCTCGTGCTCTCATTACCGGAATTAACGGCATTTTAATTACACTCGGAAGTATTTAAAGTCTCGTCCGACCGTCTGGTCTCCTTCCGATGAGCTTAAGTCCCCCTTTTCTGTCAGGTTGCTGTTCTTTTAACTTACGTGCGCTCGAAATTTTGGCTCTGAGCAAACGAGATGTCTATGGTTTATTAACACGTTCGTAAAGAGACCTGCTTACCAGGTTGTTGCAACTTCTGAACACTTTACGTAGTATCAAAGAATCTCTGTAATTTCACTGGAATATGTACATTTTTTTAGCAACGAGGCTAGGAAAGTTACTTGTAGTACAGGAATTCGTTGCACGCAACTCTCAGCCGATACAGGCTTTAGTAGAATTAGTATCACGTGAGTGGTTCGATAATCGACCACTTTATTCGTTGCTCTTATTACCAGTTCATGGAACAC